AAAAAAAAAATCCTGAAGCTTGGTATGGTGGCTCATGCTTATAATCCCAGCCCCGTGGGGGGCTGAGGATTGCTTGAACTTGGAGTTCAAGACCAGCCTGAGCTATGATGATGCGATGGCACTGTACTCAGGGATACAGAGTGAGACTCTGTCTCAAAAAAAAAAAAAAAATTCCTCAAACCTTTGACCCTGAAAAGATAGTGCCTTTTGCACACGCCCAGCTTCCCTTTGCCATCCCACCACGTTATTTGCCTTATAATGTCCACTGCTCTCTAGAAGTCACATTCCCTCCTGTTCCTGTTTCCTGACTGTGGCGAGTTAGCTTTGCTTCTTCCTCTGCTATTCTGGTTTTGCACTATTCAGTCTGCATCATACACTGAATGGTATCTCCTCCCTTGCCAGGATGGAGATGTGATTGGCATAAATACACTGAAGGTGACCGCGGGAATCTCCTTTGCAATCCCCTCAGATCGAATTAGACAGTTCTTGGCTGAATACCATGAACGCCAGTTGAAAGGTAAAGGGAGTTGGGAATTTTTTGTCCCTTCCTGTGTTTTTAAGGAGAACTTAATCTTTTGTGGAGACAGCCATTGTAATCTTGTAAACTACTGGGTTCCTGGTACTCAGCTACCAGAATGGTGATTTGGGTGGCAATGTAGGAGGACTAGGCTCAAAACTGAGCATGACTTGTACACAGAAGTATTTGGATTGAACTAGTCTGGAAATGAAACTAATGGGCTGGAGGTGGGTAGGTGGGAAGAATGTATGTGCTAATGACAAAGGTCCCCTGAAGCATGTATTTCATGGTGGGCAGCCTGAATAGGCAGCTTAAATAGCAAAGGGATTCTGAGAGGATGTCTTCTATAGTAGGATTCTTAGGTGTCTTTTAAGTTCTGCCAAAAGGAAAGAGGTTTTGTTGTTAGTAACATATCATAATTCTCCTTTTCAGGAAAGGCTCTCTCACAGAAGAAATATCTGGGTCTGCGAATGCTGCCCCTCACTATGAAGTAAGCAGGTGTTTGAACATGTCTGTGGTGTTTGGGGAAGAGGGAAAGGCAGTAGCTGGAAATCTTTTTTTTTGAGACAGAGCCTCAAGCTGTCCCCCTGGGTAGAGTGCTGTGGCATCGCAGCTCACAGCAACCTCCAAC